ACCAAAAATGGCTGCCCTATGGAGGATCTTCACTGGACAGTGAGTTTCCAGCCCATTGGAACGCATTGAAGGGGTTTCAATGCATTTCAATGGGCTTTTTATTTTTGCATTATGACGTTTTCATTCTACAGCGATTTCACTGGAACAAATTAACATCATAATGCGAGGCACCACTGTATCACCCTGCCAAATGCAGCATCTCTTTTGGCTCTGACATTGAGTCAATAGTGCTTTGTAAACATCGAAGGGTTGGACCAGGTGGCTGATCTGGAAATGCTTTGCTCTTCAATTCCATGGTGCAGTGCAGTTGACCTTGAAACTGCCCAGGTAGAGTGCACCTTCAGATGGTCTAGTATCGGCTTGCCAGAGAGTTCGTAGGCTAGTTGTATAGCTTGCACTGTCCACCTAGATATGGCCTGCTTCAAAGCCACGGCACCTCTGTTTGGTCCATGGTAACAGATGAATAACCTAGGTGCATGTTGAAACTGTTTCGTTCTGTCGATATAGAAAGCCAGAGCCTGTTTGACATCCAGTGTGTGGAGCTTGCTCTCAAGCGGGGTGAATGGAGAAGGGAATAATGCTGGCAGCAGTATAAGTTGATTCATATGAAATTCTGATACCACTTTTGGTAAAAATATAATATCAAAGCACAGGGTCACTTTATCTGGATGAAATTGTAGATATGGTGAATCGGACCACAGAGCTGCTAACTCACTGGCCCTCTTCGCCGACGTGATCGCTACCAAAAAGACAGTCTTTAAAGATAGTAATTTTTCACTGCAGGTAGCCATTGGTTCAAATGGTGGCTTAGTTAATGCTTCCAGAACTAGTTGTAGGGACCATTGAGGAATGATGTGTTGAGATGAAGGTCTGATATTCTGAAGACCTTTCAAAAATCTCCTCAGGATAGAATGAGAGAAGAGTCGGCTGGACCAGGAATTGGGCGGTTGATGAGCCACTATAACTGAAATGTATACCTTAATAGTAGAGTGGGAGAGTCCAAGATCGAAGAGATATAGAATGAAAGTAAGTATAGTTTTGAGTGAGACTGGAATAGGAGTTAGGCTTTTGGATTCCGTAAATTTTATAAAGGATTTCCATTTGTTCTCATACAGTCTCCTAGTACATGGTTTCGTGGCCTTTTCTAGAATTCCAGGGAAGTTGGGGTTATTCTCCACACCATCAGATTCAGCAAATGAATGTCGGGATGAAGAATGGAACTGTTGTTCTGGGACAGGAGGTTCGGTACTGGAGGTAAGTGGAGGGTTTCTACCGCCATCGTTTTGAGGTGCGTAAACCACAGTTGGTGAGGCCACCACGGTGTGATTACTATGGCATCTGCCCGATGTTGAATGGCCTGGACGATTGTCCTCTGGATCATCGGTATCGGAGGAAAAAATGTAGATGAATTCTCCTGTCCAGTCTACCATAAAGGCATCTTCTAGTGACTCGGTGTCGAGCAGTATCTGGGGCATTTGGTATTGTATCGGGTTGCAAATAGATCCAAAGTCGGGTACCCCCATCGGTGGACGTTGCCCTGAAAAATGGACTCGTCCCTCATCCACTCATGCATACGGGTGGGCAGTCTGCTCAGATGGTCTGCTAGGAAGTTGTCTTCTGTTGAAATATGGATAGCTTGTGGGAAAATGTGGTAGAGACGGCACCACTCCCAAAAGTCTATTGTGAGTTGTAGGAGGGGTATAGAGTGTGTGCCTCCCTGTTTGTTTACATGATGCATTGCTGTGGTGTTGTCTGTCACCAGCTGGACCACTTTTCCTTTGATACGAGGTAGAAAGGCTTGAAATGCCTTCATATGGCCAACATCTCTAGCTGATTTATATGGAACCTCCTTTCTCTTTTTGTCCACAGGCCATGTATTCCTGGCAATGTGCTCTCCATCCCGAAGGACTCATGTCGGTGGTCACTTGTATAGAGAAATGCAACTGTTGGAAGGGCCTGCCTTTCAACAGCTGCGTTTGGATGTATGTCCACATTGAGTCAATAGTGCTTTGTAAACATCGAAGGGTTGGACCAGGTGGCTGATCTGGAAATGCTTTGCTCTTCAATTCCATGGTGCAGTGCAGTTGACCTTGAAACTGCCCAGGTAGAGTGCACCTTCAGATGGTCTAGTATCGGCTTGCCAGAGAGTTCGTAGGCTAGTTGTATAGCTTGCACTGTCCACCTAGATATGGCCTGCTTCAAAGCCACGGCACCTCTGTTTGGTCCATGGTAACAGATGAATAACCTAGGTGCATGTTGAAACTGTTTCGTTCTGTCGATATAGAAAGCCAGAGCCTGTTTGACATCCAGTGTGTGGAGCTTGCTCTCAAGCGGGGTGAATGGAGAAGGGAATAATGCTGGCAGCAGTATAAGTTGATTCATATGAAATTCTGATACCACTTTTGGTAAAAATATAATATCAAAGCACAGGGTCACTTTATCTGGATGAAATTGTAGATATGGTGAATCGGACCACAGAGCTGCTAACTCACTGGCCCTCTTCGCCGACGTGATCGCTACCAAAAAGACAGTCTTTAAAGATAGTAATTTTTCACTGCAGGTAGCCATTGGTTCAAATGGTGGCTTAGTTAATGCTTCCAGAACTAGTTGTAGGGACCATTGAGGAATGATGTGTTGAGATGAAGGTCTGATATTCTGAAGACCTTTCAAAAATCTCCTCAGGGTAGAATGAGAGAAGAGTCGGCCGGACCAGGAATTGGGCGGTTGACGAGCCACTAAAGCTGAGATGTATACCTTAATGGGAGAGTGGGAGAGTCCAAGGTCGAAGAGATGTAGAATGAAAGTAAGTATAGTTTTGAGTGAGACTGGAAGAGGAGTTAGGCTTTTGGATTCCGTGAATTTTATAAAGGATTTCCATTTGTCCTCATACAGTCTCCTAGTAGACGGTTTCTTGGCCTTTTCTAGAATTCCAGGGAAGTTGGGGTTATTCTCCACACCATCAGATTCAGCAAATGAACATCAGGATGAAGAATGGAACTGTTGTTCTGGGACAGGAGGTTCGGTACTGGAGGTAAGTGGAGGGTTTCTACCGCCATCGTTTTGAGGTGCGTAAACCACAGTTGGTGAGGCCACCACGGTGTGATTACTATGGCATCTGCCCGATGTTGAATGGCCTGGACGATTGTCCTCTGGATCATCGGTAT